ACCTTTCTTGTCCCAGCCACAGACCCAGAGGGGCCACCAGCTTTCCCAGTCATGGTGGCCAGTGGAGTCTCTAGGGTCTAATATAAGGGTTGAGTGCAGACTGCTGCCTCGCTCACAGCAGGCACACGCCGTCCAGCTCTTTGCTTTTGTGAAGCTTGTCAGGGTTTTAGTCGATTCACAGCTCACCCTCTGTTAATTTTGGTTAAAAATTCGTAGAATAGAATCTGTAGAGTGGGACGGGAGGGTGCTGAAGCGGTGCAGGAGGAGGAGAGGAGCCGAACACCCGGCAGGCAGAGTACCAATGAGCACGTGTGCCCATGGCAGCTCAACACCAAGCAATTCCTGGGAGCAATGAAAGCTCTCACAAACCTGGCTGCAGCCCCCGAGCCGGTGTCCCTACACCCAGGGCACACACGAGGAGGGGTCATGCAAGCATTGCCCCCCTCTTTCTTCTTTAAGATTTGAGCTAAAAGTCTCCCCTGCTGCAAACCAAAAGCTCTGGGGTCTGAGGCGACACTTGGGAAGCCCGGGTTTGGTCAGCAGCCGCTGGTGCCACCTCGGGGCACGTGTGTCAGGGGACAGGGCCACCCCACCGCAGTGTTGTCCCAGCCGGGCAGGGCGCAGCAGGGCACAGCCAGCTCCAGAGAGAGGAGGCAGCTGCAGGTGGAGGTGGCTGAGCATCCCCACGACCAGCCCAAGTGCTCAGGTGCTTTAGGACTCACAGACGAGGGTTCGTGGGCTCTGTGGCAAATGAGCTGCAGGGAAAATGATGGGACCAGGATGCATTTTCCTATGGGATTCCCAGGTGAAAAAGGGCAAAATCTCAAAGGAGATAACTCCTTTGGCTTCTGCTCCCCTGAGAGCTGAAGTGGAGGCGCTGCAAAGGAGTTACACCTGGTTGTAAGCCAAATGTGTGAACTGAAAGAGCTGCCTGGCATCCCAGCTATGAAACTGCAGGTGCCTGTAGGAAAGGGAGACGAGCCCTCACCCTCTCAAGAGCTCCGTGGCTCTGCTTGGGGGATGGCGGCTGGCAGGGAGGAGGGGGCAGGGGCAGTAAAGGGTGAAAGGATATTTGGATATTTACCCAAGGGGGTAAGTACAGGCCTGTGCAAGTCTGGGGGTGTGGGTGGAGAGGAGGGAGCCTGATCCATCCTGGGGATGATGAAGGGGCAGGCTGGAGGTGGTGGCTGGGGCACAGAGCATCTTAAACAATCCAAAGCCTAGTCATGCTGGTGCTGGGCTAGTGGCCTTGGGCCAGGGACTACCATCGTGTCAGGCTTCGGTGCCTTGTGCCAGCACTAACTGCAGCCTGGTTGGCGTCCCCCAGATCTGTCTCTCTGGATGAGAGTCATTTATATGCCCCAACTATGGCAGTTTGCAGCGAGCCCCCATGTGTGTCCCCCAGCCCAGCCCCTGGCAGCAGGGCTGAGGACCTGTCTGCAATCCCCTTTGCAAGGATCTCCCTGCTGCTCTTCCCTGGGGAGCAGCAACCGTGGGTACTGTCCCCTCTGTCCCCTCTGCGCACCCCACCCCGGGTCTGCCAAGAAGTGGAGTTTTCTGTGTGCAGAGCCTGCCCAGCCAGCCAAGGGAGGGCTCCTGCGCTGGGGCTGATGTTACAAATATTTTCTAAAAGCAGGTGTCAGTTCGAGGCATAGTCCCAGACTGATGTGTAGCTGGGTGGCTCATCTGAATACAAGAAAAGCAGGAGATTCGGACATGTGATGTGGCTATTTGGTCATGCTGCTGGTGTTTAAGACCTGCTGTGTGCATCCATCCGGAGCCTGTGCGAGGTGGTGTGTC